CATTTATTGACAGTGTCTACTGTTGCTCCCACTTTTCCTGGAGCTTAAGCCTATATTCTAAAATGATGGGGCAGATGTTGACAAATTTATTCGCGTAGGCCTTGAGGAGCTCCTCGGTGTTGTGCAGGGAGAACAACTTGGTGCCCTCCATGTTCTTGCTATGCATACCGTCCAACCATACCGAGGATGTGACCAAAGCTTAACAGGTAGGACCTGGACACCTGGAATGAAAACTGGACTGGCCAGCAGCTCACTGTACCCACTTCCTTTGTCCACTAAAGCCTAATTAGCTCCTAGGCAACAAAGCTAAACGGTACTCCAACCCCAGAAGCATGTTTTATTCACCCTCAGCGATCCATGACTCTCATTATCCAAATTAATTCAAAACCCAGAAAACTGCTGGTTTTGGTTGGCTTTGGTGGCTGTTGAGTCTCTGGGACCCCAAACATTGTCTTACAGCTGCCTGCTCCCAGGCTGATGGGGAAGTGGGCCTCCGGCCAAGGTCTGTTGTTCTCACACCGGACCACTCTGTAGACCAAGCTGGCCTCAAACTTCAGAGATCTGCCTGCCTCTGCATCCTGAGTGCCGGGATTAAAGGTGTGCACCACCAACACCCAACTTTTATCTTGATTATTTTACAGTGTACATTTACACCAAACGGTTATGATGGACAAGAGATGGCCATCAGTAGGCTTGGGAACCAAGGGAGATAGCCCTTCATAGTCACCTTCAGACACAACCTCCTATTTCCTATCAACACATGCAGGTGTAGGAAGAAACAACTGCTCTTTTCCCAAATCCAAAATGTAATAAAGGGCCTGACGCTGGTGGCGCAAGCCTTTAATCCCAGCATTTAGAAGGCAGAGACAGGAGGATCCTTGTGAGCTTGAGGCTGGTCTGGACTACAGAGGGAGTTCCAGGACAGTCAGGGTTTCATAGAGAAACCCTGTCTCCAAAGACAAAACACAATAAAATCATTGTTCCTATGTTGGGGTGAAGACTTGTTGTGGACATTACAGAGCTGGAGTGAGAGCAGGTTCAGCCTGAGCTTTCTCATGCCAGAAGTCAGGCTTGGTGACTTTTTCCAGTCCCTCATCTAGGCACTGAGTCACAGCTCTATAAGGAAACAGCCAGGACTATTTCACAGAGGCCTGTCACGGTGTGAGCCACCACCGTGGAACAATTTTTTTTTCTCTTTGGTGTTGGGGAATATACTCAGAACTCACAGGGGTTAGTAAGGTGCCATGGAGTCACACGTCCCAAGTGACTAATTTAAATGGGATGATCTACATTTCAGTTCAGAGGAACCAACACTGCTCTCTCAGGAAGGTGCAGTCACATTTTTAAATCCACATGCATTTTAACATCATGTTTTTACAAATGTTTAATACAAACGTCTAAAACTTATCTAGAAATATTCTATTACAACTTATCTACCTGCACTCAAGTTTTTTTTTTACTTCTTCCCGGTTTTTCATCAGGGTAGTATGGCCTACACAAAGGCAGGAAAATGACTGGCCTCCTGCTCCCCTTCCAGTTCTCTCTCCTCTAGTTTTCAGTCTTTGAATCTAGAAATGTTTGAGCATGGTGGTGCACATCTTTAGTCCCAGCACTCCAGAAGTAGAGGCAGGTGGATCTGTACAGTACATAGTGACGCCCTATCCTGAAAAAAACACACAAAAATAATAAGATTTACAGCTCCAGGTGTGTGTGTGCATATACCATATCTATAGCACACATACACATATATGTACATGCAGACACATATATACGTGTACACACAATATACATACATTTATATCAAGGGTGTCTATGTAGCCCCAACTGTACTGGATCTTGATATGTAAGATCTGCCGACCTGTCTTCCAAGCACTGGGACTAAAGATGTATACAACATACCACACCCAGCCACTGACCTAGCATCTTGACCTGGCCTATCAATTACAAATTTCCCAGTTTGCAGTGAGAAGCACAAAAACTGACATGCTTAGTTATTTCTGCAATTTTTTTCCAAGACAGGGTTTCTTTGTGTAGCCCTGGCTGTCCTAGAACTAGCTCTGTAGACCAGGCTAGCCTTGAACGCAAGAGATTTGCCTGCTTTTGCCTCCCAAGTGCTGGGATTAGAAATGACTTGCACAGGTCAATCAAAATCCCTGATGTCACCAGAACCAGACAGTTACACATTCTGGGGAGTTTTGAATTGTCCACAAAGTTAATGGCAATGCTTCCTTAGCCTCTGGGTCCCTGGGATTACACACAGGAGTTCTATCAAGATACTTATCATCCAGGGAGCAGCAAAGATAATCTTGACAGATCAAAGGAAAATAGGAAGAAAACCATCAGTCAGAAAGCACAGAACTCAGAACTCAACTGTAACACAACAATTCACAGGACAGTCTAAAGGCAGGAAGGGATAAGGTCCCAGAGAGCCAATGGTACGTCTTCTACTCCTACAGCAACACCATGTGTGAGCCAGAAATTCAACCAGCAGTACTTATTTGTCCAGAATAGAAGCTATCATATTTATCACATTTGTCACACAAACATGAATCCCCTATGCTTACTAGTGAACACTGAAATTCATAGACAGTTCTATGCATCACATACAAGCATAGCTTTTTTCTGGACATCTATTCTTAGGTGAGGAGTCATTCTAATTCTGTGAAGTATCTTCTAATCATAACATAGCATTTTTCGTGGTTATTAGACTTGTAGTCAATTAAAAAAACAAAAACTGACAAGGAGCAGAGGTACTCTGTCAAACAAGCACCACCCTACTGATGGCTTAAGAGTCGATCTACAAAGGGTTGTAAACTTCTACATTCAAATGTTTGGAAACTTCTAGTTTTTGGTCAAGTAAACATCAAACAACAGAAAACTTTCTGAATGTCACTAGATAATTAAGCAAACTTTTATTGAAGCTTACATTGTGGTACAGAAATACATTTCAATTGATTAAAAGTCCAACACCAACAAAGAGAAATAATGGCACCAAAACGTCCCCTCCTGCAATCACACTAGGATCACTATTCAATCTAGTTTGTTTTCTAGGCTTTTTTCCACACAATCTATGCAAATTCCATCCTTAAAATCCATAATTCTATCAGATGGGGTAATCAGACCTCAAACCAACAAAATCTACTGGGTTACAAAATCCAGCTTAAATAAGGACTGGTCCTCCAAATAACAGTTCAAAGCATCAGGTGCTGTGCATATTACAGAATCAAACTGATAAGCAGACTGGAGGCTTCCCCAATGAAGCATTCAATCAACAGCGTGCTTAAAGTAAAAATCCAGACAGTGTTCCAACCACTTGATTCCAAACCAAGTAGATTCTATGTTTAGAAACGCTAAAATGTGTTTCATTATAAATACAGAAGGAACAAAACATCACTGCATCAGTCCAGAAACTACCAAGAATACAGTATGAGGGCAATAAATAGGAAATTTAGTCCATTTTGCTCTTCTCCCAGCTGTTTAGATTCCACAACATTTGCAAATGCCACTAACATGCCAACTCTTGAAAGCCTGTACTCCTAGTGCCATTAACTATCAGAGTATGTGTTGTTTTGTGTGTTCATACATTTACTATGGGGCTGAGTAATCTGGAGAGTCAGTCCTCACTCTAGGCAGCCATTCACCCTTATCATGTGAACAACATGGTTAAAAAAGACCACACAGGAACAGGTGAAATCAGAACTCACAAGCATCACAAAAGATACACAACACCACAGATCCTCCTTTGAACTATACTTTCCTTTAACGGAAATTGGTGGGAAAATAGGTTAAGTTGACTGCATGTACTGAGATTAGAATGTCCAGGATTAAATAACTGCTTTGACTTGGTGAACTTCTCCTGTCGCTACCGAATAAATTAGTAACAGCACGGCAGGCACTCCATTAAAGTTAAAGTGCACTGCACAGCCTACTATTTCCAGGATTTTTTTTCTCTATGGATTCTCTCTGCTAACAGTCCTGGAGACTCAATTCTTTTCATTTGATACATTCAGTTTTGTCATTTATCTTCCACAGTTCATGCCAATAAGGAGGTTTTTCGAAACAGGGTTTCTTTGTGTAGCTTTGGAGCCTGTCTTGGAACTCTGTAGAGCAGGCTTACCTTGAACTCTGCCTGCCTCTGCCTCCCAAATGCTGGGATTAAAGGAGTGCGCCACCACTGCCTGGCTAGGAGGCCACATTCTCATGTCTTAAAACAAACAAACAAAAAAACAGGAACCATCCCCAAAAATCTCTTCACCTGGCATACAAGATTATTAATAAGCCCAGTGTAACAACTATTGCTTTAATGGGAAGGTGGGGTGAATTGAGGAAAGAGGGAAAGACGCCATGGTGAGAGAAGAAATCAATCATAGGACTATATATGCAGGAAAATTAAAATGGCAGAACACAAAACAGTAACTAGAATCAGCATTTTCCTACAGGACTCAACTTGTAGAAGAAAAACTTTAATTGCCATTGCATAAAACACCTGTATGAAGTATAAATTTGGTTTTGAATAACATTAGTAGAGAATATGCTCTAGAAAGTGGAGGTAACTGTATGTAAAAACTCTGGCAGCAATTTAATAGAACAGTCGCAGATGGTCAGCTGAGGCCAGCATCTAATGAGGACGAAAGCCTTGTCTGTGGGGGATTTTGGATGATGCCTGCAGAAATATTACATTGTGCATAAACCAAATTGGATCATTTTCACAAGTGTCATAAAGATTCATACAGTCAAAGTTCTTTTCTACATGCACTTCAATTCCACAGCAAGAGTGGCATAGAACACCTAAACACAGAAGAGAGCATTCATGCAAGATATCTAACTCCTTGATATAATAATGCATACACTTCAAAATGATTACACTATCATTACACCTAGGGCTTTCTGCAACTACAAGGTGGTGGTCATGGAGAACCCAGCCCCCAGTATCAACATCTAGAAAGCAGCCACCACCTCCTGTGTGTCTTCTCTTTTTGCGTTTTTTCTTCTTCATTTTTCTTAATCAACTTTGCTGTTGTTGCTGCTTTTTAGCAAAACTGGTAAAAACAAAATTGTAATCATTGAACATAGCACTCTGGCAATCAAGACGTTTAAAACCTTCAATCTTCTGGGGTGAAGAAAGCACTGTGCGACATTTAGAACTCTGGGGGGAAAAATGAAAACAAGCATTAGTACTTCTAGTCTCTAGGTACTATTTTTCAGACCAAACAGTAATGCCATGATGACTACTTTAAACTTCATTATCAAGTAAGAAAATTTCATTTATTTATTTAATGCATTTATTTGTGCAAGCATGCTGTGAGGCCAGACAGGTTGTAGGATTCTCTTGGCATTTTTAGTCAGCTGATCTGGGCACTGAGATCTGAACTCGGGTTCTCTGCTGAAGGCTCTCTTAAGTGTTGAGCTAGCTGTCTCCAACCCTAAACTGTGGCATTTTGTTTTCTTGTAGGCTCTGACCAAGTTATCAACAGTAGCTTGCTAGCCAGGTGCCATACAGAACAAAAACTGCCAAAGGTTTCTCTACCTAAAGTAACCCAATGGATAATAGCACTGTTACACACAGCTCAGTAACTAGGTGAGCTGTCATCCTGCAACATGTCTTGTGGTACTCCCCATTATCCCATTTACTCTGAAGCTTTGTTACTCCTAGCAACCAGATTACCTGGGCTGGGAAGACTTGCCTAGATGTGCATGACCATGGATACAGTTCCTAATATGGACAAAAGAAAACAAAACAGAAGTCAAATTACCTGATTAACAAACAAGGTGGTCACAAATTTTCCTGGCTTGAAGACTTCCACAACCTTCCTGATAAGGTCATCATACGAGGTCTGACTTAGGTTTGTTTCAAAGCTAACATAAGAGAATTCTGGTTCTGGAGTGATGTGAATAGTCCAATATGTTCCCTTAGAGAGAAAGTTATTGTTATTAGCAAGCAAAAGGAAAAAACAATATTAAATTTTTTTGAAGATTCTAATTACTTACATCTGATTTCATTCCATTCATTGAGTAGCCACAGGGATTGAACAGTGTGGCATCAATGACAGAACCTGGTATCAGGTCACGAATTCCACTCTCACGAGTGACATCCTTTGCAGTAACACCATCTTTCATGTAGAACTGGTCCATAACTGCTGGGTCAAGCTCACTCATCAGAATTTCCAGGGTTTGATCTGGCTGATTGATTACTCGACTCTCTGGGAAATCCAAAGTATACAAGTACCTATACAGAAGTAAAACATCACAGTTGACTAGGAGAAACCTTACCCTGGTTCTTTCAAGAAGCCCATGTTCAGGTGAGCAGCGCTTGGGAGGCAGGAACAAGTAGATCTCTGATATCAAGACCAGCATGATCTACAGAGCAAATTCCAGGACAGCCTGGGCTACACAGAGAAACTCAGTCTCAAAAACACAAAACAACCCCATGTGCCCCTTGCACAATGGCCATACTTTAAAACATTACAGCAGCTGTGGTTGCCTGTATAACATCAAGTCAGTCTACATTCTAGCCTGGAGTGGTGGGGAGGGGACGGGAAGGGGAGAGATGGGACCCCAACCTTTGCAGAAAAGCCAGGACAACTGATCAAGGGTTCTACAAACTAGAGTGGATAGCCCACCGAGCATCCAGGAATATATAAGACATGGGCAGTGAATTCAAACACTCATTCTACCACCGAACCACACCTCCTATCCTTCCCCTTTTTGTCTTACTATACTGCCTTTACTGGCCTTGTTCCTCTTACCTCAGCCTCCAGAGTAGCTAGGATTAATAAACATGGGCTCCCAGGTCTAGCTTAAAACAACAGTACCTTTGTTCCCTCAAAAAACCCATACATGGGCAACAAAACCAAACCAAAATCAATTACATACCAACAGTCAGAATTCATACGTCCCATACAATATGCTGCTCCATCTGTAAGGAAAGAAAATTATTTTTTAAAAACCCACTGAATACAATGGTTCATTATCAGTTATTCAGTAAACAGTATTATTACCACCCATTAAAAACACTATCAGTGGGCCAGGCATTGGTGCTGCATGCCTTTAATCCCAGCACTCGAGAGGCAGAGGCAGGCGGATCTCTGTGAGTTCGAGACCAGCCTGGTCAGTCTACAGAGAGTTCCAGGACAGCCTCCGAAAACAATACAGAGAAACAAACAAAACAAAACAACAAAATCTCCTTCGGTCTGCTATTTAAAGGTTTGTTGCACGTGTATCAGTTTGTTGTCACCACAAAGTCAGATCCATCCTGACGTGGACACCAGGAACCAAACCCAGGTCCTCCACAAGATGATAAATCACCCTTGCGCCTCCCCTCCACACCCAAACACACATTTTCTTTTTCCTGATGGTCATTGATATCCTTGGAATGTAGATGGACCTAAATGGTTGAGAATACATAGTTTACTTTTACCCTATAACTCCCACAGGGTAGAAATTGGGTACTTTTTCTATTCTTCTAATTAATATAATAATCGGGTTTCCTTACATGTCCATCCCAAACTATTTCAAGACTTCCCTTAGCACAGTAACCCAACTTGGAAATGACACCAAGTAAATGCCCACCACTCTCTGGCAGCTAGTGTTTGAGGTCATAAATTACTTGAAGTGCTGAAGATCAAATTCAGGGCCTCACACATGCTAAGTATGTGTTCACCCACCATGCGAGCACACATACATTATACCCAGATTTTCACCTTTAAATCTGTTCCTGTAAGTGACTTTGCAAAGTTATTAGGATATCTTAAGATTTAGAGCCTTCAACCTTATTTTTTGAGACACTGGTCTAAAGTCTATACAGAACAGGCTATGTCACACATAATCTACCAGTCTCTGCTTCCATAGCACCAGCATTATAAACCCCACCACCACACCTGGCTGGGTTTGTTCTTATACATGTAGGTACTGAGGATCAAATTTGCACTCTTGTGTAGTAAGCAACTTAAAACTAATTAATTGTGCTATCTCTCCAGCTGCAGTTTTCGAAACAAGTTCTCATTATCTGGCCCAGAATGACCTTGAATCTTTGGGCTCGAGGGCTCCTTCAATCCACTTAGTAACCAGGACTATAGTATATGTCTCATTGCCTTGCTTCCCAAGACATTCTGTGCACCTTACCAGCACTGACATTATGTTTGCAAGCATAAAATACAACTTGTTACCCATTCAACTAAAATGTCTGAAATCCTTACAACATCCAGGTAAACAGAAAACCAACAACAAAAACCCCATTCACCTTTAAATGATTGGATCCCTAACTTTAAAAGACAAGAACAGCCAACCAGCTGGGTGGTAGTGGCATACTCCTTTATTCCCAGCACACAGGAGGCAGGAGCAGGCGGGGATCTACGTGAGTTAGCTAGTTCCAGGACAAGTAAGGCTATTACTCAGAGAAACCCTGTCTTGAAAAATACATGTTCTATTTTTACTTACTTGGGAAAATTGCATTAAGAAACTCAATTTCTTCCTGGAAATTCCGGTGTGGGTACCCTTGGTGAGAAGGCTTCATGAAATTCTTACGAGAATAAAAGAAGCTCTTAAAAAGAGAGAGGGAGATCTTTTTAAGATTTTTTTCTTACCTACATATAGAAAAGACAACAAAAACTTTACAAATGTTTCAAGTTGCAACTGTGAAACACAAATTAGCTACCAGAATGACACTAATATGCACACCTTCACTACTGCAATGTACATTCTAAGCTGGAATGAAGAGTAAAATAAATATTGTGTCTATTGATGGGTCAGAACCACAGACCAAATACATTTCTTCCTAGCACAGTGATTCTTTTAAAGATCCTAAATTTGACTCCCAGCACTCACACAAAGGCTCACAAACCCTCTCTAACTCAGCCCCAGGGAATCTGATTCCCTATTTATTCTAGCTTCCATGAGCATGAGGTACACATACATGTAAGACAAAACATTTATACACATGTGCACGGTACCACAGAGTGCATGGGGAAGCCTCAGAGGACAAATCTGGAGTCATTTCTCTCCAGTCTTTGATGGGTTCTGGGAATAAAACTCATGTTTATTTCATTAGTCAGCCAATACAATTTAAGTGCCTATCTTACACTTCTTGTAAGGATAGCTGAGTAATTATCATAACCACACTAGTGGGGTGGCTATGGTAGTTCACAATTTTTGCAAGAGTGTTATGTTTGAGACTAGCCAGGGCTCCAAAGCCTGACTGCCCCCACCCCCAATAGGTTGAGTGTGATAACATAAACCTGTAATTCCAGAACTCTGGAGGAGGAGGCAAGGGGATTGACTGAGTTTGAGGCAAGCCTGAGGGATGCCCCCAAACAGTTATCAGTAGGGCAGGCTATATTTAGTGACAGAACATCTGACTAGCGTATGTGAAGTGAAAGCCTTGGGATCAGTCCCAACCACAGGTACAAAGACATCAAAAACCTGTGTAATGACAGTCCTTTCTTTCAGGCAAAGAGAAATCGCATATCAGTTTTAAATACCATGTCTTAGCACTTACTTGAATCGAGTCAAACCCACTGTAATCCCTAGCAAGCTTCAAGAGGGGAACCAGTGCTTTCAGTAAGAGGGTGGTACCACATGTCTTCAAAATGAAACGTCTCTTGGAGACAAACATGCTACTCTCACTGCAACAGAAAAGCACAAGATCATTACCTCAGCATGTATCACTGAGAATACAATTAATATTCTAGCACATCAATATCTGTGATTTTTATTTCACCACTGGATATACATCATATGTACTTATCCACCAAAACATAATCTACAACAAGCAAAATTAGAACTAGAAAAACTATTAGTCATCCCTCATATCTCCTGATATTTAGCCTATAAACACACAGAGTTCTGAACATGTGAGAGTGCAGCATTATCCCTGAGAGTATGTGACCTTGCTTGAATAGTACATTCCTAGCCCATTCATATTCCTGCAATTGTGGAATTCTATTTTTCTTCTTTAGAGTAAATAGTACTCACATTCCTTTTAATGTCTGGATATAATATACACTAGCCTAACCAAGTATGACTGCTATAGTTGTGTACTCACCGCTATTTACTAAATATATAACTTTACCTTCTCTTGGACAGCACTGCTCTCACAAGTTTTTGTACATCATTTTATAATTGGCATGGTGTACAGTAAGCATTTTGACACGCATCTGCATACGCCAAATAGACTTCAGTATAAAGTAAACATTCCCAAGCATTTATTGGTTAAACTGATCTTGCACCGATTTTAAAAGATTAATAGCCTTTGTATACTAATACAGCAACCTGATGTAATGAAGCAAAAATTCAACCTTGTCAGAAATTGGGGCAGAGAACAGTGGGGGTGGGGTGGATATTAGAATATATTGTTTTTCTTTTATCCGACAGACATTGCTGTTAACTACGGCAACCCTCACAAAGAGCAGCTAGGAAGGCTTAAAAATCCTATCTAGAAACAAAACAATCCTATTTCATACCAGATTCATAAAACTGGAAAACACAGATTCTGGTGAGAGAAGAGTGATATTTCATAAAGGCTATGGATCAGGACAGCAACTCAACACTTAGAACTCACCTGAGTACATAAGCTTCCTGCTTGTCAGTCTTCGTCACACTTATGATTGAGCATTGCACATCCTTCAAAAGGACATCCCACTCAGATCTGTTATTCAACAAAAACCACAATTAAAAACAGTACTATTTCTACCAGACTTAGACAACCTTTGTCCTCCGTTGTTAAGAAAAGGAAACTGGTTCATGAGAGTTAAGCACCCTACCACTGAGTTTTAGTTTTATTTCCAGTCACTTTTTGTTTTGAGACAGGGGTTCTCTGTATTGTTTTGGAGGCTGTCCTGGAACTCTCTCTGTAGACCAGGCTGGCCTCGAAGTCACAGAGATCAGTCTGCCTCCCAAGTGCTAGGATTACAGGCGTGTGCCATCAACACAAGCCATTTCCAGTCACTTAAGACAGATTTAAAACAGAAAATGTGAGACAGTAACTGAGACCACTTAATCCATTTATTTCAGTGTTTCACTGGGTAGCCCTGACTAGCTGGGAAGTCTTTATGTACACAGGCTGGCCCCCAACTCAAAAGTCTGCCGGCCTGTGATTACCAAGCAGTGTGGTTAAAGAGTGTTATCACACTGGCCACCCCCTTCCTTTGGCTTTTCCTGACAGGGGTTTCTCTGTATTGTTTTGGAGCCTGTCCTGGAACTGACTCCGTAGACCAGAATGGTCTCGAACTCACAGTGCTGGGATTAAAGGCATGCGCCACAATGCCCGGCCCATCCCCCCTCTTTTAACTTAAAAAAAACTATTTTATGTGTATGGGATACCCTGCCCAAATTTATCTGCATGCAACATGTATATAGTGCTTAGAGGTCAAGAGGCCATCACATGGTTCTAAGCTGCCACAGCTGGGAATCCACCTGTGTCTGTCTACCAGGAGAACAGTCATTGCTCTTTATCATGGAATCATCTTCCAGCCCCTCCATTTACTCTCATAAGTAAAGAGTATGCATTTTTTTTTAAAAAATCACAATCTTTTTTGTTTCTTTGAGACAGGGTGTCCTAACTGGTGCCCTGGCTGTCCTAACTTGCTCTAAAGATCAGGTTGGCTTTGAATTTGGAGATCAGTATGCCGATGCCTTCCAATTGCTGGGATTAAAGTCACATGCTGACATCCAGCTTTTTTTTAGTACCTCAACCGTTACTTCAGTACTTACATTCTAATCCATATACTTGTTTGTTGGGGTTCTGAGTTGTTCTTTGTGCACGGCACAAACATCCTTGGCCTTTACCCACTCACATGCCAGAAGCAGCACCTACCACCCAGTTATGCCAACCAAAAATATCTCCAAGTGTTGCCAAAGGTCTCTTGGGTAGCAATGGTCCCCAAGAAACACCGACCTCCTAAGTCAATGCAAAGTATCCTTTAAAACAAAAACTAGGGGGGCTGGAGAGATGGCTCAGCAGTTAAGGGAACTGGCTGCTCTTCCAAAGGTTCCTGATTCAATTCCCAGCACCCACATGGCAGCTCAAAACTGTCTCTGACACCCTCATCAGACAAAACACCAAAAAACCCAATGGGGGGGAAAAACAAAACAAAACAAAACAAAAAAACCAGCCGGGCGGTGGTGGCACACGCCTTTCCCAGCACTCGGGAGACAGAGGCAGGAGGATCTTTGTGAGTTCGAGGCCAGGCTGGACGACAGCCTCCAAAACAATACAGAGAAACCCTGTCTCGTAAAAACAAACAAAAAAACAAGCAAACAAACAAACAACAAAAAAAACCCAAACCTAGGGCTGGTGAGATGGCTGAGGTTACGTACACTGACTATTCTTTCAGAGAACCAGGGTTCAATTCCCAGAACCCACATGGCAGCTCAAAACTCCCTGTAACTCCATAACCTGATACCCTCACAAGACATACATGTAGGCAAAACACCAATGCACACAAAATAAATTATTTTTAAAAACTACATACAAATAGGACATCTTACGTATTTGCTTTCATTAAGCTTCAATAATTTAATAATTTCCAATCACTAAACTAGTATGTGATCCTAATGGGTTGCCTTTGTTGGCTATTTGAATGCTATGCTTATAATCTGTAATATCAAGACTTACAAACAGACCAACTTAGTGAAATAGTTCATATAGGCTAGTAATGTTGGTGCAGAGTTAGGAATAAAGCGCACACACACCTTCAACTATTACCAACTCCATTAGACTTTCTAAACAGAGTGTTCTAATAGACAAAAATAACCATAGATTACTGTAGGTTTCAACAAGGCATTATTTATAAAAGTAGGTTATCTTTCCACAGAAATTTTTCTTGCTATGCAGTTTCTTTCACTGAGCCTCTGGCTGTATATCCCTTTATAATCATTTGGTTGATAAGCCAACTGACTTTTTAAAAGACACTGGCTACTTTAAACATCACTGCTAGCTGAGGAAGAAGTATGCTGGGTTGCTAAGATGGAGGCAGCATAATTACGACTCTTACTAGCTAAATAGAACTGAACTGTCTAGACAAAGCTGTGTGCTCAACAGGTGTGAATATGCTTATAACAACCTAGCACTGGAGAGACTAAGGTGCTCCACTCCAGTCCAGCCTGGACTGAACAACTGTCTCTAAATAAATGCAAATAATCATATAAACTAACCACAAGATGATACTGCTTACCAAGCATACACAAGACCGAATTCCAATTCCACCCCTCTCCTCAAAGTGAGCAGCAAAAATTATGGAAAACAGTACAGAACCCCTGCCCCACACACATATGAAAGTTGGGTCTAGCATGCTGGACTCCCAGTAGAACTTATAATAGCTTAAAAAAGGAAAAAGAAAAAAACGCCATCAAAAGCACAAACCAGGGGCACATTAAACACTCACCATTCCACCTAAGTCAAATCCACACAGCTAAAAAGGCAGAAGAGGAGCTGGAGAGACGGCTCATTGGTTAAGATAAGAGTACTACTTACGCCTACTCTTATAGAGGATCTGGGTTTGATTCCCACCACCAGCATGGAGGCCCCTTATACAGACTTTCATTTCTTCCTCTATCATTCTTCATCATTTTTATACTGCATTAGGTATACATAAGACTTTTTATTATTATTTTGTTGTGGTGAAATATTGTTTATGATCTTATGACCTAATAAGGCTTGTCTGAAGATCAGCATGGCAAGACCAGTCACAGCCATAGAGGCCAGGTAGTGGTGGTACACACCTTTAATCTCAGCACTAGAGAGCTCAGGGTCTCATTCGGGTACTTGGCATTCAGTCTTCAGCCTCCCTCGATGAGGATGTGTGGAGACAGGATCACACTTTCAGTCTGAGGGAGAGGTAAGAGCTAGTGCCTGGCTGCTTTGCTTCTCTCATCTTCAGCTTGAACCCCAATATGTCTCTGGATTTTTTATTTGTACTACATTTTGTGTACGAGGGCCCAACAGAGGGACTTTGGTGTCAGATTCACAAGATAAAATCTACACAGGGAGACAGAACAGCACCAGAAGGCAGACGAAATGAAATCAGAGCAAAGAGGAGAGAGAGCTACACTTCAGTCACCTGAAAAGTTGGTAGAAAGAAATGATGGTACAGGGGAGACTCTATTGCCAGAGATCTGAGCAAGGCGGCCAGAGATTTAAATCTACAAATCTAACTGATTACATTACACATCACTTCCTAAGTAAAATGGCTGGTTTCAAAGTTCAGCTTACCAAGTCACTGTTTAAAATTCAACAGAAGTTACCAAATTAGCAAGTGCACTACTTGACTAAGGTCTGTTTCTGAGACTCAGGCCGTCACTAACCTTAACCCTGTGTCAAAAGTGACCAAGCACAATAGCAACATGGCTGCTCACAACTGGCTCCACTCCAGTTCCAGGGGATCAGATGCTCTCTTCTGGCCTCCCAAGGGCAACCATCTAAACATAATTTGTCCCAAATTTATTTGCATTGTTTTCTCTATTGCTACTTCAGTCAGTGTATGTATGCTTAAGATAGATAGCTTGGGGGCAACAGGATGACTCAGCACCCAAGTTTGACTGGGGTGTGTGTGTGTGTGTGTGTGTGTGTGTGTGTGTGTGTGTGTGTGTGTGTGTGTGTGTGTGTGTATGGACGGACAACGACAGAAACGACACAGAGAGAGACCAGAAGACTCAATACCGGGCAAAAGCAATCAAGAGGCATTCAGCACGAGTCAAGCCTGGTAGTACACCTTTGGTCCCAGTACTCAGTATGCAGAACAGGAAGATCTCACATAACCTTGATAACCTTTTCTGACCTCTACCAGCACAAAATTCAAGTGTACCCCCAAAACTAAAAACCAAAGCGTAAGCACATGCTCCTTTACTTTACTCTAAAAGGCTCATTAAGTTTGCACTTAGTCTCCTCTGGAATTAAAGCTTGGAAAGATGGACCCATTTTGCTTAAAGGGTCTATTCTACTACCTCATACCATATACAAAAATCACTATCAGGTGAGTTATGTGTCTAAAAATGAAATGTAAAAAAACCTTCACGGGAAAAACACTTTCCAGACTGAGATTAGCAAAGATATTTAAAACAGGGTATTACAAGAGCTACCAGGGAAAACTATTACCAAAACTAAAGTTAATATGTGCACACCAGTATGGGTACACATGCATGGGGTACCAGATGATAATTAAGGAGTGTGTCTGTCTTCCTTCACACAGAGTTTATTAATCAACCCATCAATTACCTGTCCCTGCCTCCCTGTACAAACTTAGAAAAAAAAAAGTCACCACCTCAAAAATGAAACAAAAAGATAAGCAAATCCAAAGCTCAAGTTACTCCCTAAGCAGCATCCCCCAAAAGATACAAGATTGAATTCCCAGGTTGGGAGATGGGAAGGTGTCATCAGGGTCTGGGTCTCATTTTGTAGACCAGGCAAGCTGCAAGCTCATAAAGATCCATGACCTCTGTATCTGAGCCCCAGGATTAAGGGATATGTCATCACACCCATAAAATCCTATCATTATTGTATATGTGTATTTGGCATGCATGCCACAAGGCACTAGTGTATGTCAGAGGATAAAACTCTTGGGAAGTGCTTCTCTCCAACTTTCCTGAGATTCTGGGTTAAAGAAATCCAGTTTCCCAGGCTTGTTCAGCAAATACCTTTGCCCATTGAAGTTTTGCCAGACTGAAATCATACAAACACAGAAAGATGTTCATTCAACTCCACCATTCAGCAACACATCCTGGATCTTGAAGAGAAGGCTTCAGGCTGCCTGCCTCTGCTTACAGGATGCTAAGATTAAAAGCATATACCACAATACCCAGTTATTGAAAGGCCCTTCCTGCTCCTTGCAATCCATTCCTCCCTTTGTTAAGGCCTGCAGTCTACCATTGACCAGTCTTATCTGATTAGTTTGCACTTGTTTTTACAGAAATGAGATCTTACATCATGTACTTTTGCCTGGTTTCTTTTCTCAGCATATCTGTTTTCATCACTACTCATGTAGTGTATGTATAATCAAAAGCTCAGTTATTTTTGGGTAACATTCTGTTGTATGATTTTACAACTATCCATTTGCTCTTTATTTTTAATAAGGTATGTGCCACTAAATTCCTAATTACCTCCCTTTTTAGTGAACTATTTTCATTTGGGAGTATCACAAAACTGCTATTAAAATTCCCAAGTCTTCATATGAAGATATATTTCCTGCTTTTACTGGTAAACACAAATAGACCAGTTGGCCAATTGGATCTTTTCTTAAAACTATCAAGTCTGGTTATGTTCTAAAGGTGTCCCCTCCTTGCAGAAGGTGTGAAAAGCAATCCTTATTTCTAATACACACAGTGCCTCTGTGTATCTTTTGATATTTTAAATTTATTAATTCTTTCTGTAGGCTTGTGTTCAATATGCTTTAAAAATAGACTACTTCTTAGCCGGGCGTTGGTGGCACACACCTTTAATCCCAGCACTCGGGAGGCAGAGGCAGGCGGATCTCTGTGAGTTCCAGGACAGCTTGGTCTACAGATCGAATTCCAGGACAGCCTCCAAAACAATACAGAGAAACCCTGTCTCCAGAAAAAAAAAGAGACTACTTCTTTATTTTAACTATCTGTTGATATTGTAACCTCAGTTTCTAATTTGTTCACATTTTGATGGCTATTGAAGGCAGTATTTTCAGTCATGACAAGACTTTCTGATTACCAATATTACTCAGTACAACATAGTTTAATAAGTTCCAAGACCAGCCTGGTCTACATAGTTTCAGGCCAACCAAGGCTACATGGGAAAAGTGACCCAAACACAAAGCCCTGAAAGTTTACTTTAAGAGTGGGCTCAAAGTATGGATAAAAACAACTCGGTGGTGGACACAGGTCTTTAGTCCCAGCACCCAGGAGGTAGAGGCAGTGGATTTCCTGAGTTTGAGGCCAAAAGTTCAAGAACAGCCAGGGCAGCACAGAGAAACCCCGACTCTTAGAAACCTAAAGATCAGCCGGGCATTGGTGGCGCACGCCTTTAATCCCAGCACTCGGGAGGCAGAGCCAGGTGGATCTCTGTGAGTTCGAGGCCAGCCTGGTCTACAGAGCGAGTTCCAGGACAGCCTCCAAAGCCACAGAGAAACCCTGTCTCGAAAAACAAAACAAAACAAAACAAGAAACCTAAAGATCAAATTGCTACGATGTCATTAATACACAGCACTTTATGTCACTAATACTGTTTTCTTCCTCAGTCTCCGCCGGAAGAACAGAATCATAAACTGTTAAGACCTTAATTACTATAGATATCAGTTCATTTAATCCTATTACCCTATGGTAATTGTTTATTTCAGAAATGATACAGGGCTCCTATAAGACTCCTTAGTTAAGCCACTGACTAGGTAGGTTTATCTACCACCTACTGTTTTCTAGACACTTCTTTAAAAGCCTCATAGTAAATAACGATCAGTGTGTGACATTTTTTAAGGCTAGCTGTAGGGTGGTGCTTATGACCATGTATGCTAAATATCTATGAAGCATGTAAAAATCACACAGAAACAGTAAAATTTCAGTTGCTTGGTTACTACACACAAAAATGGGGTTTTCAAACATTTAAAGAAAATAGCTTGTCCTTTTAAAAGACTTCCCCTCCACCCAGTTTCTTTTCTTTTTTCAAGGCAGGGTTTCTGTGAAGCTTTGGAGGCTGTCCTGGAACTCACTCTGTAGACCTGCTGGCACTAAAGGTGTGTACCAACACTGTCCAGCTCAGGAGACACTTTAAACAGGCACACACCGACGCACACCCAAATTTATTTGTACAGGTGATTTTGCCTAACGAGTATGCCTGTACTGCACGTGTGCAATGCCCACAGAAGTCAGAAGAGGCGTCAGGTCCCGGGGAACCAGTTACAGATGCTATGTGAGTGCTGGGAATCAAATCCGGGCCCTTTGGAAGCGCACCGTCATCTGCTGAGCCATTTCTAGAGCTCCATTCTAAGTTGGGGAAAACTATCTTCCCTTTTTTATTAAAGGTGTCACAGATTATTTCAGGCTTTCAAATGTTTTTGTAATTTCCTAGAGCATCCCGTCATTCAGTTAGTACCAAGATTTTCTAGGAAATAACCCTGACAACACTAGGTTTTCGAGACGCCTATCACAACCACCAGTTTTCCATTTGTGAAAAAGAATAAGGTCCTCCGCGATTATTATGAAATTAACGTGAAAAGTGTTAGCAACTGGAAATGGCACACATGGCAGATGAGCCTTGGAAACAGATTACAACGGTCCAGCTACATTTCCCCCGACAATGGAAACCTCCGCAGCAACTGGTAGGAACTGCGTTTCCCAGTGTGCTCTAAAGTCTCGGCAGCACGTGGCCGCCGGGATTCGCTTCTCGCTTTTTGTCAGAAGACGGTTGCAACGCGCTGCCAACATTCCTAAAACGCCCATTGGTCCACACCCTGGGGCCAGGCTCCCGAAGGGGCCCAGGAGCTCATTGGTCCGCCTCTCAATGAACCGGACCACGCCGGTTCCTCCGCCACCCCAGTGGCATTAGCGCTCCGAGGATCGCGGCGGAGCCCGCGTTCCGGCCCCCAAAGCCGGCAGCCGGTGTCAGCGCCGCCGGGTCCCCGCATCCTCAATTATCTGCCGCACTTCTAAGCGCGACCACCAACAGCTCCTCGCGCGACGTCCCGTTGTCGCGTGTGACCGCCCCGGTGCGTGCGGAGCCCCAGGTTCCCTTGCTCCAGGCTTAAGGCATTAAATAGATCCCCGGGCTGACCGGCCGGCCGTCACCCCGCGATAGCAGACAAACCCTCCACCACCGTGCGTTCCCCGGACCTCCCCACGGTCACAGGTTACACAACCCAAGGTCAGGAGACTCGTGGGCAAGCCCCGGAGGGTCCCGGGGCGCTCTGCTGCAAGGCACGTCGGGGCGGCGGCCGGCCCAGCACTGCGACACGGCCGCTCCCGCCCAATCCCGCCGCCCGAGCGCCACGCGCGGCCGCCTAGCCCGCGGCGGGAGGCCTGCTCGCAGCCCCGCGGCCCAGGCCCGCCCCTCACCCGCGCCACACCTGCCGGAGGCCCGCGCGCCCCGCAGCCCAGGCCCGGCCCCGCCATCAGCCGGGGACGTTACCTGAGCACGCGGCCGCGCCGGCCTCCTCCCCTCCCCCAGGCGCAGGCGGCCCCGCAACGGCGGCGGGAGAAGCCAGTTCCCGCCCGCCGACCTGGCCCCACCTGAGGCCGAGCCTCGAGCCTCGCAGGCGGCGGCGGCGAGCCACCCTCAGGCCCCGTCACCCACCTCGGGATGGTGCGAAGATCCCCAGATCCCTGGCTTGCGTCGGACTGCTGCCTGGAGAACCAGACCTCCAGCAGTTTCTCGGTCCCTTCGAAAAAATGTGCAGCTTCCATCACCGTGAGACTAGCGAACAACCAACAACCACAGAAAATCAACTAAAATTAAATCTCTTCTCCCGCCGCTCCCGCCGCCGCTGCGGATTGTTCCAGCTGTGTTACTAAAGTTCAGGTTCCTTTTTTTTTTTTGCTATAATTTTATATTAACTTTTTTTTAAAAAAGGACTAATAAAATTTTCCCGGCTTTTTTGTGAGCGAAAGTTGAACGTGAGTCTGTTGGAAATAGAGGCAGATACAGTTCAGTCTCTTGTAGTCCGCTGCTTTCCCGTTAGAGAGAGTTGAGCGAGCGCTAGCTAATGTCGCCGGCCATACTGTGTAAGCGAGGGTTCTGCGTGAGCGCAGACCTTATATAAGGCATCCTCCCCGCCAGGCCAGGAAGTGACGCCATCTCCCCGCCCTCAGGGCCTCATAGGCCCAGCTCGCTGTCAGTCAAACGTCGCCGAGCGCCGGCTGGCTGGCGGCGGGCCTAGTGGGAGTGCAGGGGTCTACCAGCTTGGTTGTGGATGGAGCTGCCGCCGTCTCTTGAGCGGGAGACCGCGCTGTTGTCCGGCTGGGGACTTGAGAAGCTGGGGTTGCTTGTAGAGCTGGTGGGGAGAGCGGGGGTTAGACAAGGCTGTCCCACGCTGCATACGGCTGGTAGGCAGAGAGCACGAGGGAGTCTCGAGGGGTGTCTGCGGGGCTCGGCGGGGGCGGTGGCCACTGCTGGGTTGGCGTGGTGGCTTTGATCCTACGGATGGAGTTCCCCGCTTCAGCCGAGGGTTTTGGTTTTGTCCTTTTTTTTTTTTTTTTTAAACCATTCTTTCATGTGTTTCCTCGAGACGAACGCAGCCAAGGCAATAAAACTCAGCGTTTGTCAGTGACGTACGCGTTGCCCGGGGTCGGATTGGAATGCGCTTTAATTCGGCTCGTGCTTTATCTGACGTGGGAATGAATGCAGCTCTCGACCGGTTTACACAATAGCCAGAAGCGTTGTCTTCCTATTTCAAAAGAGAAGAGCAACGTGGCGCCCAGCTCAGAGGGCTGCTGTGCTACCTACCTCCCACCGTGTGCCTCGCCTAGTTTCGGAGTTGGCTGAGTGCAGCGGCCAACCAGCCACCTTTACCAACCCGTGATCCATTAGGTCAACTGGTGGAGGTTTAGTTTGCAAAACTTTCCAGGAACTAGCTTTATTAAGTGTAACACGAGGTTGTTTGATAATATTTTTCTTTGAATATTCTTAAAGAGATGAACTAATTCAAAGTAATTTCAACCCCCACCACCACCCCACAAATTTACAAGTGCTATCTCAAATGCCTAAGAAGGATATTCATGGATATATAATAATGGTATAAAGAAGTATCCAAGAGTTTTCACTCACTAAAGATAAACTAAAGTGTAAATTAGGGGTCAAGTGTCGAATTGGATTTTTTTATCTTAAGTAGCAAAAGATGGTAACAAAGATATTAGTTACTTGGGAATACTGGAGTGGGGGAAGTCCCCAATCTTGTTAAATTAAAAAAAAAAAAAGACTATCATTGAGCCGGGGCGCTGGTGGCACAGCCTTTAGTCCCAGTACTCAGGAGGCAAACCCTGTGGCTTTGGAGCCTGTTCTGGAACTTCTCACTCAGTAGACCAGGCTGACCTCGAACTCACAGAGATCCGCCTGCCTCTGCCTCCCGAGTGCTGGGATTAAAGGTGTGCGCCACCAACCCGACTTCTTTTGTCATGTTTTTAAAAACATCTAACTCAAACTGGGGATTAGGACAAAATATGATAAATGTCATTTATTATAATAGTAATTCAAGGAACATGTGGTTATACTTGGAATAAAGATTAAAGGAATATTTCTGTGTTTTACAAGCTATTCAATTATTTGATGGTTGCTTATTGAAATAAAGACTGCCTACTAAACCACCTCAAACACTAATTGTGGTATAAATATAATTTGACTTGCAATTACTTATAATTAGTTGCTTTTTCAATTACTATTATGCTTTTTCCCAACTTATATTAACGAAAGTGCCAAGAATCTTGGCAAGGTAAAACATTGTTAATTTGAGACAGGATAACTTAACTAGTGTCACTGAATTGCATTGTTTCTTTGTAAAACATACCATTTTTTTCTTGAGGGCCATTATTCTACTGAAGCTCAAATCACTTGTACTTCTAACCAAGGTAGTTAGTTTTTGCTTATATTTCACAAAACTGAATGTGTCCAAAAGTTATTTACCATCATTCTTAAACTAGTCTCTTTCTTTTAATGACCATTCTTTCCCACTTAAAAATAAAAATGAGAAGCCGGGCGGTGGTGGCACACGCCTTTAATCCCAACACTTGGGAGGCAGAGGCAGGCGGATCTCTCTGAGTTTGAGACCAGCCAGGTCTACAGAGTGAGTTCCAGGACAGCCTCCAAAGCCACAGAGAAACCCTGTCTCGAAAAACCAAAGCAAAAAAATGAGAGAGATGGCTCAGTTGTTAAGAGGAGTTGTTGCTCTTCCAGAGGACGGGGCATGATTCCTAGTATACACGTGCTGGCTCATATCCATCTGTGACTCCAATTCCAGGAGATCCAGCATCCTCTTGTGACTTCTGTGGGCAGCAGGCAAGCACAAGGTGTACAAATGTACATGCAGGCAAACACTCATGCATATAAAATCAAGATGAAATTCTTTTCAGAAGTCCTTACATTTTGCCATCTCCCCCTTTTGCTTTTGTTCTAAGAATTAAAATCAAGGACTTGAACTATGTAACTCTATTGTATTGAACTTTAGACCCCTCAGCTCCTGTCTCCTAAGTGCCAGGATCATAATCACTCATTTTCTTTTGTATTCACTCCTATTCGGATCTTACCCAGTTTGGATGGAGAGAAGCTGGGGATCGAGCCCAGAGTTTCCATATGCTAAACATATGTTGTTCTACTGTGTGTGTGTGTGTGTGTCAGTCCGTCCTCAGGAGAGGACAACTTTGGGAAGTTGGTCCTCTTTTTTTCATCATAGAGGTCCCAAAGATCAAACTTAGGTCATCAGATTTGGTGGCAAATACCATTTTTCTGGCAGCCCAATCCCCAATTCTAAAACTCCTTACTTAAATCTATTTCTCCCTTCTGCTATCATCCTTTTTTTTTCTGTAAAACTCTCCAAAAGATGGCAAGACAGATTGTCTCTTCATTGCTCCTTCTGATCCCAGAAATGGATTTTTCTCCCTAATAATTAAATAAAATTGTATTCTTCAAGGACCACTCTTTGAATAGTTTGTGATATAGAACACCAACCGACGCCCCTCCCCCAAGGCTGGGGCTTGAACCTAGGTCCTCAAGCATGCTAGACCATATCCCCAGCCCTACCCTCATGAAACACTCCTCTGAGCTCTTGTGGTAGTTTTCTGTTTGACTTTCCTTTCACGTTGGATTTTCTTCCCCGAGATAAAGAGCTCTTACCCTCTCCTCTGCCTCTCTTTCTAAGTAAAGTCCTTCCCAGATGACCTACTTTATCCAGCTAATACTTTTTATGACCCATTCATCTATAAATACCTTTCCGATATGTTTCTTTAGCCCAGGCATTTCCCTTTCATTCTAGATCTTTGAGGTACTTGCCTGCCTGACTACTCGAAGACTGAATGAGCATTTAGATACTAATGCACCTAAAAAAGATGTTTCTTTTAATAGCAAAATCTGCCTCATCCACATAAAAACACAAAAACCCAGTTGTTCTCAAGCATCCTAGCTGACCTCCGTGTCTCTGCTCTTGGCTCTTTATGATCAACAATAATCATCTCTAACTGGTTGCATAAACCCAAAGTCATCCTTGGTCCTCCCTTTCCCATATTTCCTGAAGTGCAGTCAGTTATAGGGCTTGTCAGGCACCTGAAATATTTCAAAGATCTGTCCTCTTTTCTCTGTCTTCACATCTCCCACTGGCATACTATGAGCCCTAGAATAAGCTCTCTGGCCTGTTGCGGTAACTGATCTCTTCACATTCGCTTAGCCACCTCAGTTGATTGACTTCAGGCAGAAAGTGGCATTTTTAGAATATAAGCCTAAACAGGGCGGTGGTGGCTCACGCCTTTAATCCCAGCACTCGGGAGGCAGAGGCAGGTGGATCTCTGTGAGTTCGAGGCCAGCCTGGTCTACAGAGTGAGTTCCAGGACAGCCTCCAAAACAATACAGAGAAACCCTGTCTCGAAAAACCAAAAAAAAAAAAAAAAAAAAACTATAAAACAAGAAAAAAAAAAAAAACAACTGTGTTAACCTAGCTATCTTAGTTTCATTTCTAAAATACTTGGACCAAAAACAAAAACAAAACAAAAAACTCCAAAACCATCCATCTATCCATCTATTTATCCATCTATCTATTTATCTATCATCCATCCATCCATCCATCTATCCATCTATTTATCCATCTTTCCATCCATCTATCCATGTTTTTAATGAATGCCTTTATGAATTTATGTGCACCAATGCATTCCTGGTGTCATAGGCTGGAAGAGAACCTAGAAGAAGAACTGGAATTAGAGGCAGTTGTGATCCACTACACGGATGATGGGAACTGAGCCCTGGTCCTCTGTAAAAAGCAATAAATGTTCTTAACCACTGAGCTATCTTTACAGATCCAGTTTCTCTACTCTTTAATAGTTCAGGGTATAACCCTAAGGAATGGAACTGCCCACAGTGGGTTATGTCTTCCCAGCTCAGTTAAGGCAGTCATGACAATTAGCCACAGATAAGCCCTCAGGACAGCCTATCTAGACAGCCTCTGACTGAGCTCATCTTCCCAGATGACCATTAAAACTGACTCTCACACTGGTTTTTAAACCTCCCATCCGGAAGACTTCATTATCTCTACCCTTCACTCATTTGTCAAAGTCATACTAACCTTTCTACCTTTAGGTAAATTTAATTTATCTGAAATGTCCTTTCTTTTACTCTTTGTAGGACATTCATTTTTTCACTTTTATTCTTTGAGACGGGTTCTCAGGATGTAGTCCAGGCTGGCCTCAAACTCTTCATCTTCCTTATCTGCTCCCTGAGTGCTGGGATTGCAGGTGTGACTCATCAGATCTGCCTCAACTTGTTTATTCTAGTAATTTGAGGTGTTAGTTTAAATGTTGTTTCTTCTGGGAGCTTACCTCTGATGGAGGGTGCAGATGTAATGATCCTCAAACACAGTGATTCAAACACAAATAAG